ATAGGCTTCAAGTCCTGTATCCACCATTAGCCTCACATCTTCCTGCATTACATATATTTTAGGCAAAACAATTAAAATCAAACGGTGCTACAGTCACGCTTCAACAGTTCGAATAAAACAGTGGCTAAACTTGTATTTTTAGATAAGCTTATGCATCAATCTTCTCTAATCTTCCACAAATGGGAGAATCACAAGACGATGAATGCAATAACAGACAAATAAGAAAATTATTGAGGCCAAGCGTATTCACGTTATACTTGTGGTACCCATCACAGGCTACATCTCCATTTCCTCCATGCCCATGTCCTGTTCATTAAAAATTATTGCATAGAGTGAAGTTTTAAGTGAATAATGATCGGTATGTTATTGAAAATACAAAACATTATTAGTAAAATTATATTCCCTGGTCTTTCATCACTGATTCACGTTTCAGTAGAATTGTCAGTCGATATTTCATTATCTGAATTTTGCTTCTTCGCTGTTGTAGATAGGTGCAGCTCATGGTCTTTTATAGGCAAATTCAAGTAATAAAATATTACAAACTTCATGCCTTTGAGAAGATATAACAGTGGCAACAAATCCTTATTTAATGTCTTCAATGTTGCATATGGTTTAGGAAATGAAATAATTCTAGATACCATGCATTACATCGAATGTTGAAGTAAAATGATGCAGGTTGATTCATTAGTTTAAAAATTTTAGTTATTATGAACACCTCACTTCTTCCTCGTCCTTCTTTTCCTATTTGTTTCTTTGTATTCTTTCTCCTCGTCAACACATTCCTTTCTTTTTATATATATTAGGTTGAGTTTTACGTATTGTTAAACTCTTATTACATCAATCAATTCTCATAAACTCCAAATTATAGATTCGTGAGATTGCATTAATTCAGAGAAAGTTTGGAATCTAGAAATGATGGTTTGACGTTTCCCAAAATGGAATGCATTTGCTGCATTGTATTAGTCTTGCTACGTAAAATACTTAAAAACGTGAAAGTTACCATTTAAATCATTTTCTTATTACATAATACTTCCATCACCTATGTTGCCAAAAGGTGTCTCTAATGGCACTAAGCAGAAACATATCATTTTCAAAATTTTGATAAATTTACGTTGTTAATTTCAATTTTCTGAGAGTTTTAGACAACTTTGAGTCCATAGAGTCACATAACACAAACATTAAAAATTTGGCTTAATAATTTGGGTTTCACTTTAGCCTTGTATACTTTTCTTAATCAATTAAGTCTTAATATCTTTTAAAACATTACAATAATAAAAACTAAGCTTAATGGCTTAATTGATCCCCAAATTCAGGACCAATTAAACAATTAAGCCTAAAAGTAATTATACTGTATTATTCTCTTAATTTTGATTTATTGTACGAAATTTCCAAAAATATGAAAAATCTAAATTTATATAAAATTGGTAAGAAGGATGGAAAGAAGAAAGAAGAAAGAATTTATATAAAATTGGTAAGAAGGATGGAAAGAAGAAAGAAGAAAGAATGAAGAGTGAAGGAAAGGAACCAGCGTGGGCAAAGGTATCCCAAATGCTATCACTTCTTCCTTCTTCATTAGCAGCTCCTTCCACCTGTTTACAAGAACATATTTACAGATTAATTTGGATTCTCTTTTATGGTGTTATCTTTTCGTTGTAATGCAAAATACACTTAGTTTCTGTAACTGCAATAAAATAGTGATAAAAGAAAAACGATGAAATGAGATGAATAAATTTAGAGGAATTCAGCCTGAACCTGGTAAGCAGAGGTGCCTGAACCGAAAACAAAATCAGCCGGGAAATCGTCTCTGTTATAGGTATCGGCCCCGACAACTGTTCCCAAAGTCAAATTGAGAAGCAAGAAAGTGAGCATGATAGCGTTGCTGAAGCATGTGTGAGGTGTTTCCATCGATTCACGCCACATTTGGTCTCAATCGGTAAGGACAACATTTATTCCAATCGGAAACGAAAATGAGTGATCCATGTGCTTCGTCGTTCAATTTATTGAGCTGTTGATGTTAAAATTTAGATTGGTGCTGTTCACACACACCTTCAATCCTTTTTTCTTTTGTTTGAAACTTTTCCCTTTATATTCCTAAAACAAATTATTCAGTAAAATAAACTTATCTAATCATTTATGGCGAATCCTTTTTCATTGTTGTTAAAATGTTTACTATAAAAACTATATAATATTTTTAAAAGGGTAATAATTTTAGTAAAGTAATTTTAATTCACAAAACAATTCATCTTATTGTTTGCGAACAATTTTCTCAAATAACTTGTTATTGCGTATTAAAATTACTATATATTATTAAAAAGTTGTAAAAAAGTTTTATTTTTCTGATATAGAGAATAAAGTAACAATTGTTATAAATATATAATAGATATTAATTACTCAAGCGTGGAATCCAAAACCCTTAAGGGTAATTTTTAAGATAATCATAGAAAGATTTATTATCTAACTTGTTTAAATTTTAAATTCAAAATCTTGTAACTATTTAGAGAAAGTTAGAAAATATAAATAGGTTAATTTTGTTTTATAAGATGACAAATTGTAAAACAATACATGCATCCTAATAAACATGACAAAACAAGAAAAATAATTAATCTCATGTTAATTGTTGCAATTTGGATCATCATTTTTATTGATTTATGTTACAACTTTTTTTACTTTCTTTAGTTATTTATATTTTGTGTTCTTTTCCTTTCATTGCAACTTGTGAAGTCCTTGTATTGCAACTTGTGAAGTCCTTGTATGACCACATGGGTCAATTCGAATTTTATTATATTGAAACTATACTTCATCCATTGTCATTGTGCTATTATTTTCATTGTTATTGAAAAAACAAAAAGAAAGAAAAAACAAATAGTATAACAGAACATGCATAAAATTCTAGTTGACATTAAAGTAAGAAAGAGGAATTCATTAAGTGTTTGGTTCAGATTAATTTATGATATTATTATGAATTATTTGAACTGTACTCACCTTTCTTGCTTTTAAACAGTCATGTCTAATACTTCTGCCAATGAGTCACAAAACGTACTCGAGGCCTTAAAAGATCCTCAATCGATAAAAAAAGTAATGCACGATTAGTTTAATGCTTTTGGATTGTTATTAATTTACCTCCTAGCAAAATTGTCATTAGTTATTGATAGGTATACAAAATACAAAATAAAATACAACTCTGATGACTCAGGAATTTAAAGGCAGGTTGATTATACATAACTCAAAGGGCTTGATTTTATGGACACCTTTGCCCTTTTTTTTGCCAAATGCATTACCCTTAGGCTCAGCTCTTGCTTCGTGGTGATCTTTATGAAGAAGTCTACGTGAAGTTGTCTCCTGGGTTTCCTTCTCTGAAATCTACTCAAGTTTGCAAGCTCCAATGTCCGTACCGTTGTATGGTCTCAATAGGCTAGACTTCAATGGTATGCTAAACTCTCCCAATAAGTTGTTTATTGATGAGTACATATTTATATCCATATTAATATTTTAAAATTTAAAATTTTGTTGAAATTTTTGTGTTTAAATGATTGATTTAAAGTGAATTTGTGATGATTGAATTTATTGGATTTAGGAATTAAAGAGACGAAAAAAGTGATTTTTAGTTACATAAAATTTATTTTTGGATTTTCTAATATTTATTTGTGCAACTTAAATTAAAGTTTTACCATTTAAAGTGTGAAATTAAAAGTCCAAGATGCAAAATAGGTCCAAAAATCAGATTTGGTTAGAAAAGAATATTCAAATGGGCCAAACAGACAATCTTTACTACTGTACTCCCTAAATGTTCCTACACACACCCTTTTTTTTCTAAACCAGACCCAACAGTCAGATTTTATCCTTACATCTCCTAAATTTTCCTACACACACCCCTCTTAACTAGACTCCATCAAATTACACCATGTGGCAATCCATCACACACAATATCATCCAACCATAACTTGCCACATTATCAACTTTGACACATCACCTTAACAAGTCATCATTATCTACTTAATAGCCTATTTCGTCCCTAGTTTTGCTGAATAATGTAAATTCAGTCTTTCGTTTAAAAAGTGTTTGAAATTGGTCCTCACTTATTAAATTTTGCTTCAATGTCATTCTTTCGTTAAATAGAAATAAACGTTAATGGATTGACGATCTGGCAAAAACTAGTAGTAATGTGACAGTTTTAAGTTGTATGCGTGGTGACTTTATTATTTTTTTTTTTATAAATTTTGGTTTATGCAAATGTAATTGAGTCCTACTTCCAACTTTGACTATTATTTGCGTCCGTAAGTAATGTTACGAAATGAAATGTTAAATGGCTTCTTCTTCCCCTTTCTCACACCATAGCTGATAACAGTTGAAAAACTACTATTTTCATGCTTAAAATTGATACTAAAAGCAACCTTTAACACTTAGAAACTAGCTTGAAATCATGCTTTTGGTCATATTTTTAGAAATAAGAGAGCTGGACAGGTTTATGCTTGATTTCAGTGTTTTTATGCAGGTTTTAACGTGAATTTGGTGAAAGAAGTGAAGAAGGATAGAGATGGAATCAGAAAAGACATCAAAAAGTGAAAAAGGAGAAGCCACAACTGCCGCTCAGCGGCAGTTTACCGCTGAGCGGCACTCAGGCAGTCACGTTGGCTCCGCTGATGGGTGAAAAGGCTGCTGAGGGGAGAAAACAACTCACGTACTTACCGCTGAGCGGTAGTTTACCGCTGAGCGGCACTATTTTTGGGCTTGGGCCTAATTTTCTGTAATTTTACAATAGTATATAAGCTTTAGGACGTCCTAGGGTTTGTATCTTTGGCAGAGACGAAGCAAACACTCTCTTTTCCACCCCTTGAAGGAAGATCTTGGATGCTCAGGCTACCTCCTCCTCT